AACCGAACTTGAAAAGTAGAAAAAAAATGAAAGGTCCGTGTCCTTGTTTTGAGATATAAGCAATTGAAAATTGGTTGGAAATGATTACCTCTAGACATTTATACATTTAGCATTGGCAAAATTTTTCAGGCTTTCAAAAACCAAGGAAAAAATAACAAGGATTTTTGAAGATTTTCAAAAATGGCTTTTAAAACTATATGTAAGAATAGTAGTTTAGCGGGCAAATTTTTTTTTTGGCACTACATGTATAAAACTAAAGGATTCCGAATATCTGACAAAAAGTAAAATACAAGAGCAGCGAACATCCTTAATCACATTTCAGTTAATAATATTGATCAGATGTCGTGCATTCTGTGATATTTGAATTAGATTAGTACATGTAATTTCATTGATGTCGGAAGTCGTATATGATATAAATATGTTTTTCAAATTAAAATATTGCACAGGTAAAACGCTAGGAATAATACAGGTATTATCATAAGCTGTCATGTTTGTAAAGGATGAGTATATCGGTTCACAAGAGTAATCATTACACATGTAAATTCTGAATCTATAATCAAATAGCGAAGGATATGGGTTTTGCTCATTATTGAAGTCCGTACGGTGACCTACAATTGTTAAAATCCGCTTCACTGGGGTTCTGTTGGATAGTTGTGATTTGGGAATCATACCACAAATTATTATTTGATAAGGAAACAATCCTGCGATTATGGTATGACGGGTTCCACTAGTGAAACATGATCTGTTCTGAAGCACCTGAAATCACTTCCGGTTTTATGTTTGGTTCCGCATCATGTTTTCCTTGTGTAGTGTTTAGTAGACTGTTAATTGTCTTTTTTGTCCGATTTTCATTTCGGCCATGGTATTTACTGTTTTTTTTCGAATTGCAATTTTTAATATTCTTCTGTCTCTTTTTTCAAATTAAAACATGGTACAGGTGGCACTTAATAGTGGTATAGTAGTGTAAAAATAATAATTTATATGAGGTATTTCCGTTTAGTAGTAATTCTTTATCAATTAAACAAAAAAGATTTTTATATAAAGCAGTTTAAAGTCAAATTTATACAAAATAATAATGGAGATCACTCCTTGTTTCTTGTCGTTTTGTTAACGTTAGTTTAGTGGCAAATATTTCATACGTCATATTCAGGAATCTTCTGCAATCTACGACCCTAAAAATTGTTTTTCAAGGTATTTTTATGTGCGGAGAGCGCGGTATTCTTCCTTCACGAGATTATTTTAATAAATGTTTTTTTTTTCAGTAGCAAATGTGCAATGCACCAACATAAAGGGAAAATATAAATATAATGAACCAGTAAATATGTGGGTCTAATAACTTAGATACAATCGATTGCAAAGGTAATTTTTCTGGCAGGACAAAAATGTGTTTCTGATATTTTTCCATAGCTGGAAAAGTATGGACATCGACTGAAAAGAATTTGTAAATATATGAAAGGAAATAACAAGAATATGAAAATATTACATCAGAAGTGTAAAGGTTTGCTGGGCAATTGGTTAAGGATGTTCGCTACTCTTGTGTTTGACTTTTTTGTCAGATATTCGGAATCCTCTAGTTTTATCCATGTAGTGCCAATAAAAAAAATGTCCCGCTAACCCCTACTTTTCTGTTCATAATTTTGATACATATAGTTTGACAAGCCATTTATGAAAATCTTATAAAATCCTTGCTATTTTTTCATAGTTTTTGAAAGAAAAAAGGTGCCAATGTTAAATGTATGAAAAATCTAGAGAGAATCATTTTCCGCCAAATTTTCAATTGATTATATCTCGAAAAGAAGGTCACGAACCTATGATATTTCTCTGCTTTTTAATTTTTAATTGTTATTTATATACTATCAATTTATAACAGTCATTTAAAAAGCTTGTTATTTTTAAACAGAGGAGCGAACATTCTTAATGCAAATCCTAAGAAAAATTCAAAAAAGGGGTAGAACACTATTGCCTATCGATGAAAGTGGGACTCTTCCCCATCACGAACGGACGTGTCTGCGTATATATACATCCCACAAGCCAAACGGATGCCCCCTTTAGCATTGGTTTACTGCTGGATGGAAGAAGTCCACGAGTGACCATATTTATATATCCAATAAACCATTAGAATATCTCAGTTCAAAACAATAAAAGAACATTATTCCAATAAAGAAAATAAACCGAATGGTAAAATGTACATGCAATGTCATATTTTTCCAATTTCGACGCTACCAATTACAGTATATTTTTTTTCTTCTTTTTTTTTCTTTTTGCATGAATCCATAACTGAATATATGAAAACTCTACCATATCTACATTTGACATTCTCTACCATGTCTACATTTGACATTCTCTACCATGTCTACATTTGACATTCTCTACCATGTCTACATTTGACATTCTCTACCATGTAAACTATAAATACAGGGATAACAGCACAGCTTGCAGACACGTCCTCTAAAATTAAGCCCAACAATATTAGATCTGAAAAATTGGGAAAGGCTAGAAAATCTTTTGTTTTCCCCTAAGAGGGATTCGAACCCATGATACTGTAAAATTATGGCAATTCCGTGTGAACTGTGTTTAGAGTCGTAGACCACTTGTCAAATTACAGGTGGTATATATAAATGTGTATAAATATATATTTTACCAAAGGGATGTGTATTAATTGTGTTTTACTTCCAATTGTTTACAGAGCTCGACAGCATCTGATTTGCTCGCATGGTACAGTAGCCTAATGATTAGATTACAAGCAAGCAAAATTTAACCTTGGCTGCCGCAGTATTCATCTAACCCTATGGACTTGTTTCCGGTTTACCACTATACTGTGCTAAACTTTTTCAATTTTTCAAAATTGCTTTAGCAGTAAGTAAAAACAACTAATTTAAGTTTTCGATTTCAGGGACTTTGATCTTTTATTTCAAATCTTTGATGGTCTATGTAAAATTGATTTACATTTTTGCTAACCATGTGTATACCTCTAGATGTTTTATTATATCGTTTGGTTGCTGTATCATTAACGTAAACCAATATGATTCTCCCATTATTTATATAATACGACGAATGATATATCATTCCTCACTTCCTTATTAAATGATTTGTTTTCCCCCAAGGACAATCATAACAATTACATACAAATGCATCATATTAGATGAACGATATCAATAAAAATGATTGATCCGCAGTCACGTGTTTATTTTTCTTTGTAACAGAGATCACATTCACAGTCTGAAAATGTAATTTGCTTTTAATAATGATAATAATGATAGGATGATTTGCATGAATTTTACATTTGTCTAATGTTTCAAAGAAGTTACTTCTTAACATTTTGTAGTCTGAGGCAAGCAACATCCCTTTATTCAACGCCTTTATGGAAGCTTTATTTATGTAATATATTGAACAAAGCAGACATCTTTAAAATAAAAGGCTTTATCTCCTAACTTTACAGTTGCAGAAACTTTGCCATTGCCAAGTGGATCTAGCAGTGAAAAATCCTTTCCTTGTGAATAGCATCGATATATCAGAGCTATTTTCTGACATTAGACAAAAAAGATCCCAAAAGACATTATGAATCATACACTTTTTCTATTTTTATAAAAATAAGAAGATGTGGTATAACTGCCAATGAGACAACTCTGCACAAGAGACCAAATGACACAGAAATTAAAGGGGCGCAATTGGTACCCATTAGAATACCTACAATCTGTCGATAAACTTTATTGCCGAAACGTACATAAATATTATGAGAAAATTAATAGCTTCTACCATCTCATCATACCTCCAGTAAGTATATCTAGCATACTTACCTTTCTCATTAGAGAAGAAGGCCTTAAATGAGTTGCAGAAAATATATTTGCATTCAGATTTACCAAACGACCATTTAATTAAATAGGAAAACTTTTGTTTGATAAAATTGTGTGGAAGTGTAGTGTAAAGAGTTGAAAAGTCAAAATTGTCGACAGAATCACAAGGACCATCAAAAGCACGTAATTTATCTAAAACACCCAAAGAATTTTTTACACTCCAAAAATAGTTAATTCCACTATTTTCATATATTTTATTACAAAAGTTAATGATAAGTTCTTTGATAGTAGTTAAGGAACTCGTTTAAAGCACTGAAAGATAAGTTGTAGAACACTTACTAAAGGCGGAGATGAAACGATATTTTACTGTGTTTTCTGTGTGTAGTTTATGTATCCAATACATAGTAGGGACCTTCAAATGTTCAGAAGAGGCCTTAAGCTGTGATGTGGTTATGATATGTTTGTTTACTATATGACACTCTGTAGAGCGCACAGACTTGAATGTAGAAGAATTTAAAATTCTTAAGAAGATCCGTGTAGTATTTACGGCATGCCACCACCACATTGTTGGCTGCTTTGTCGGCCGGTACAAACACAACCGCTTTGAAAGTACTTTAAGTTTGTTTCTTATTCTAGAAATAGGCGTATTATGTACTCTTTTATTTATTTCTAAATTATTTTCAAAATGTGATTTCGAATATCCACAACATTCATACATTTATTTAAATAAGAATCAAGAGATTTTTTATCAGATTTTCCCGTTTACACCAACTTTTACAATACGATGAAAGAGCGTCTTTTGTGACCTGACGACACTGTTTCCAATCTATTTTAGATAGAGGACGACATTTTGGTCCTTTTTTCAAAAAGTTTTTACCTCTCGGTCTTGGACGATATTGAGGTCCCTCGTAATAACATGGCCATACTATTAGGTATCATATCTAAAATTCGACGATTCACAGTCTCAAGTTAGAGGAGTATTATTTTTTACATTGACGTCTGATGTTACTGACGTATAATTAGAAATTAAACTTCTGCTGGTTTTTTTTTTGTATGTATACGAAATAATAGGTGGTTCTGTGTTATCAAAAAAGGGAGGTATAAAGCTTTGAATGGTAGAGTCATTAAATATACTCGATAAGTTGGTGAAATTAATACCTCTGTTAATATATTTAATTTTCAGAAAGTGCCGTTTATGATCTTAAGGTTCATCGATACGCGGGAACAGCCTATGGTAGCAAAAAGCTGTAATTATACGCGGATATTCATACAGTGGACTGAAGAACGAGGTGTCACACTCCTGGAAAATATCATGTAATTTACTAATTGGTATTTGACCTAGTTTACATAATAATTGATGCCTACCATTGTTTTTATTTATAGATAGGAGATCAGCAAGTGTATAATTTATACGATGTTTAATTCGTTGATTTCGATTGATACGTTTGCCATGTGTACTACGGAAGCCCATTTAGGACCTCCTAAAAATATATGTTTGAATTCGAAATCACCCATGATACCTATTATTACGTTGTCTTTTCTCAACAATATCAATGATATCAATAGAAGAAGTTTTAGATATGTTCCCTTGTCCAAGTATATTGTCATTTAGACCCAGGGGTATGCTGTCTGCAGTCTTTTAATCCAAGACCGTTCGATAATTTTACGGGAATCTTCAAATTATTTATGCGATTGCCCTTGTTGTTCACTTTTTACTGAAAATGTAATTTCTCAATGTCATTTTTTGCAGGTTGTTTTATCACTGTTGGTTTCATAATATGACTGAAAAAATCGCATTGAATACAGATATATTGATACCAGTCTGCAGCTGCAAAAGGTTAGGTTTTTTAAGTGAACCTGAGAAATAGATCTGTTTGTTATTTTTGGAATTAGTTGGATAATTCAATCATAAAATTAAATCTGTTTTGCTTGTCATTTAACTTTAAATTTCGGTTGTTGCAGATGCTGTTCTGATTGTGGGGGTTTGTGAAATGGAAAGAAAGAGATACATACAGAGACTGTTTTGAATCTAAGGAGTTAGTACAGATATGATATAATTATTAGATATGACTGTAATCTCATCTTATCAGTGAATGTACAAACATTTATTGGAGTTCTATATTTCAGTTAAAAGACTGTTTTTTTGTCATTTGTGTGTATAAGCAAGGCAAATGGACTTGTTTGTTAATAGTTAATTACTCATCTTACATACTTCTAGAAAATATTATTTTATTGGACTGATTTCCTCTGTTGTATGCAGAATTGATATTATAATGAAGCACTAACAATAAGAAAATTCTATCTTTACACGAGAAATTTTGTTAAGTCTAGATCTATATATATATATTAAAATATCTACATGCTCTTCTTCTTTTTTAGGGAAAAATGAGCTACCAGAAAACCTTTGAATTGATAGGTGCTGAAAGTTTTTAAACTGTTTTAACAAGCACATTAAAAAAAGTAAAAAAAAAACAAAAAACAAAACCAAAACCAAAACCAAAACAATACCAGGTCGGACCTGTGTGGCTGCATGCAATAAATTTTAAAATATCAGCAAACAGGAAGTAGACATGGCCGATCTTAAAATTGCTTATGGCATCAACTCAAAATATTTTCAAGCTGCAGATCAAAAATAAAAGCATTCCTTTTCATAGAAATAAGTGGTTATTAGACCTCCTATCATAAAAATCAATAACATATTACAGTCACATGTAATATCCAAAATACAAAAGGGGATGTATAATTATATATACGAACTATATGGTATGTCTGTCCCTCTTTCTTCCCATGTCATGTTACATGTATATATGCTCAGAACATTTTAATGTCACAAGGATATGAAAAAGATACAATTCAACCATGTAAATAAGACAGACAGGCTCACATAACAATATGAAAGTTCAGTATAATAGAATTGTCTATTAACATACTTTATATCCAAAAGTACAGAATTGCCTTTCTCAGAAAATTTGAATGCGTTATAGAATGATACTTGTATAGTTTCTATTTCCTTGGATCTGTATCAATATAATATAAGGAGATGTGGTATGATTGCCAATGAGACAACTTTCCACCAGAGACCAAAGTAAATGTTAGCAACTATAGGTCACAGTTATGTACGGCCTTCAACAAGCCAAAACTGCATAGCAATCTATAAAAGACACAAAGATTACAAAGAGTAAACAATTCCAACAAGACAACCAACTATCTGATTTATGTTCAAAACAACAAATGAAAAACAAATATGATATACAGTACGTAACAAATGACAACTACTGAATTAAAGGCTCCTGACTTGGGGGGACAGGCACTTACAGAATGTGGCTGAATTTGTTTTGCAGGTTTTTATTTGATCTTCGAACTTTTAGGATCAATATTCCTGAATGGATGGCAAAAGGGGTTGGATTAAGATAAATTTTAAGGCATCCTCTTATGAACGAGCCAACCCACTGAAACTAAACATTACAGTCATATTCGCAATAGGTACTATTTTGGATCAACAGAGAATTCAAAATGGCCACCGAAGGCGATGAAAATTTACTTGAAAACCCAATAGAATATGACTTTTGACTTATTTTCAACTAGGACTAATACAAATGGTCCCAGTTTTCAAAAACAGGTGAAATAAAATCAAATGATGCAGAAATATTCAGTCTGTCAATGACTTTTACAAATCTGCTTTTTACATTGCAAAATTGCAATGATTCAACCTGATGATAACAATTTGGACATTTAGCTATACATAAACATTTTTCTTGGCTCATTTTGCCTCCCGAGGGACCAAATGAGTCATCGTACTTTTCATGGTGTGTAGAATAGAGGTTGTTTCTTATATGCCAGTTCATAATTCGATGTGACCACCATGCCCACCATGCCCACCATGGCCCAAAATAAAGCATAATTGTAAAATTAGGTAATCACTTAAAAACCATAACAGATGCAGAAAATATGATCAGTGGGTGAAAAAAATATTTTCGGAAGGTCAAAATTAATATACATGTGTTCAATGTTTAACATATCCTACAATAGCAAATTTCATCAAGATCACATAACAACACTTAGTACATACCACCTATAGAATATTCCTTCATGGTTTGAATTCATTTCAGTTCACGTGTTCAGATATATATATATATATTTATATATATATATATATATATATATAAAGTACCAATATGTCCCTGATATCTTTTGGAAAATATAATCAAAAACTTAAGTTCTCGTTTGGTTTAAATATGAACTTTTTACCGCCAATGGTGACCACGAGTCCTACTCCATGATGGGTCTCCGATCGGAACCAAAATAAAATACTTGTTGGGAACCTCAAACGCAAACACTGAAATCTAACAAGTTTGATTGTATTGGTTTACTGGCTTTTTAAAGCCAAGACCAATCCGATACCTTTTGGCCCTTGCGACCATATTGGGCTTTCTGTTAGGTAATAAAGTGAAAATATATTGTTACGGTATTTTCGTAAATTACATTCAAGGGTGATTATCCTTCATGTGTTCTACAATATAGAATATAAATATGATTTTTCTTATGGTTTCAAAGTGTCCTTCGGAATCCGCTAGGACCCTTGTAAAATTCTGATCGGTACCATAGCAAAAACAAATGTTAACGGTCTTCAAAGGAAGACTTTAGTTATCTGTAACCTTTGAAAGGGTTTATTCTAGGTTTTTAATTTTTTTAAACAGGGGACATGTAATGTGCAACACGGGTAAAATGGTCTGACATTGTATGAAAGGGAGACTGAACAGGAACTGGTTACGATTTTATATTAACTGAAATACAAATTGAAAGATAAAACATGCACGTTCTATTGGGTCATCAAACCTTTGTTCCATGTGTACCATGTTGTAGAGAGAGGTGCATGCACATAAACACTTAATTGTTATTTACAAATGTATATAACATTCTTGTTAGTGTTTGTCTGGCTTCAAAGAATTTATTGATGCGAGACAGGTGTGCGCTTTACGGCGTTGGCGTCGCTGCTTGATCACGTTTGTGATTAGGTTACTTAAAAGAACCCCTTTTGACAACTCTATGATATTTGGCATGCTGTTGTATAAGCATGCATATTTGGTAAATCTCGTTTCCATGGATTTTGCAAAGTTTAAATGTAGACGTTTGTGATTCAGTCAGTTTTAGGGTAAACATATGGTAAGTTCATGATTTTTGTACGTAGGTGAATAAGCATTGGCACATCTCATCCATAGAGATCATTTGCCCTTTCCCCTAGCTCAGTCATGGTCCATAGAAATTGTAACTTCTGCCTATATAGTTTACATGTTAAAGTTGAACTGAAGTGAACCACTTACTGTAGCTAGGTTAATGACATTTGTAATACAGTTGTATGAGTATTAGCATATATCATTCTCATTAAGATTATATGACCCCGCCTTCTTTGTCATGATTCATTGATTCACTTTAGCAAAGATTATACATGTCAAAGTTGTGATTATGTCATGTTATGGGGAATCACGAGTGATATGCACGTTTGTATTGGTATTTTTAGCATCGGAGGTCGATTTAGAGGGGGCATGGGGTCCACCTGCCTTATGGAGTTTCGTATGTATGATACGGCATAGACTTTTTACAAGTATCACTCCAAATGTTGGCATACCAGGACCCCCACCCCCCTCCTTTTTTCAAACTCATGGATCCACACCTGAGCGTATCTCATTTCTATGGAGATTATTTGACTCTGCGCTTTTGAAATTCGATCATGGGCATTGAATGATTTTGAATATTTTGCATAGTTTAGATATGTAAAAGTATTGCCATTTCTTTCTACGTTTCCATTTTATTATCAAAGTTGCGTACATACAAGACGTACCGTTGTGTCAACAGTTAATTAAATAATCGAACCTGGGAATAGATACAAGAAGATGTGGTATGAGTGACAATGAGACAACTCTCCATCCAAGTCAAAATTTATAAAAGTAAACCATTATAGGTCAAAGTACGGTCTTCAACACGGAGCCTTGGCTCACACCGAACAGCAAGCTATAAAGGGCCCCAAAAATTACTAGTGTAAAACCATTCAAACGGGAAAACCAACGGTCTAATCTATATAAAAATCAAGAAACATAATATAGTTTACTAACTATATTATGTGCCAGCTAGCTCACACACGTGACTGAACCAAATTACTTGCGCCTTACTTTTAGCCTGGATTTTTAGTATTTGTATTGTCATCTGATAAAGTCATGCGATTTATGAGATGCACAGTATTCTCTGCTTTCAAAAGTTTTGGTCCTGGTTTCTTACTATTGGACTTTTATCGTGAGTATCTGGACGGATGTTAGAGTGGACAGAGAAGACACCGCTTCTCTCTGGATAACCTCATATTTTGCAATGAGATATGTTTTACAACCTGGGAATAGTGTACTCACAATATATTATGTCCCATTAACAACTAAATATTAATCCAATTAGAGAAAAAAAGTAGTAAGCTGTTTGTTTTGAGGGTTTAAATTCTGTTCTTGCAAACATAAAAAATAAATGACAGTAAATAAAGTATAAAGAGGAATCCATTTTGTACATATACTGTCTGTGTTTGAGTTTTAGGATTAATAGTGCTCCCTACATGCATCTGCCTGCCAAGCCTGAGCTCACATTTTAAATTCACACTGAGAAAACCTACAAACAATTAGACTGCCTAATTCCTCAATGAGAAAACAACTAAACACAATGAAACCCGTGAAATACATTGAATGCATTTCGGATACAGGGGGATGTTCCGGGGGTTGGAACCCCTCTATTCAAAATGACTGGATCCGCGCCTGGAATATATCACAGGTTATTGTTAAACGGGTGAAACTAGTCTGTTTATTAAAAAATAAATGAAAGGAGAATAAAGACTTTAAACTCTTTGATAAAAAAAAGTCTATAAAGATGAAGACGAAAAATTGAAATAATAATCACTTAAGGTTCACGTGGACCTTTTGACTAAAATAGTCGCATTTTCACCTCAAATTTACTCTGAGTACAGACTGACCTATAATGGTTTACTTTTACAAATTGTGACTTGGGTGGAGAGTTGTCTCATTGGCACTCATACCACATCTTCTTATATCTATATAACCTATGTATCTTGAAATTTTTTAAAGGGGCACTAGCTACGAGATATATAAAAAATCTAAAGTATGATTTATTTTTGTTCAATCATTAATGAAAGTGAAAAAGTGAAATAATGATTCACTTTTAGCAGCCAGTATGAATCAATTTTGTCAAATTAAGCTAAGAAACATTGATCATGAATTATTCACTTGTAAGTGAATAATTCGACCTCATTGAATCCGTATTCATGTGAACTTCAATTTAACCCCTTAGCTAGAGATGGATAACGCATTAACTGTGCGTGTTAGGTTATTTAAAGGAAAAGAATGTCAACATTGAAAGTGAAACAAAGGTAAATTATTTGATTGACTGATTCGATCCACAAAAAAATCATTCTTATACAGGTAAAAATGATGA